GCTTATTTCGACCTCTAAAATTCAATCAAACACCACCAACTAAACCATCGGCCTCCACTCTACAAAACCTTTCTAACCCCGGTACTTGGTAGCCCCTCGTTTGCTGGATGTGACTCCCATATTGGATTGAATTTTCTGGCCAAATTCTGGCTTATTCCGACGTCGAAAATTCAATCCGACACTACCCATTGAACCATCGGTCTTCACTCTACAAAAGCCTTCTAACTCTGGCACTTGGTAACCTCTCGTTTGTCGGCGATCAAACTAGGGATTGAATGAACAATGAAATTGAAATCTTAGACCGAAAAAGAGGTCAATTGTAACGCCCACATTGAGGTACATAGTTTTACTTATGCCCTAATACCCTTAGTTAAATTTTATTAAAGTTATCTTGAAAAAGTGTGAAGAAAATCTCTTAAACTTTCATTAGGGGTAAAATGGTCTTTTCACTCATAATTAGTTGAAAATGTGGGGAGTGAATAGTGAGTTTTACTATTATTTTCCGAGTATACTAGCTAGAGAGAAAGTATTACATTGGTCGACTGTTGGACCGGTTCGATCGGTCGATCTGATCCAGTTTTTAGAATATTGCTTTGACTTGCATATGTAAAGACGAAGACAAACAAAGCTACAGTGTGAAGATAACAAACCCTTAACTAAGTTTATGTTGCCAAGTTGGGTTTAAGTCTTAAAATTAACTACATAATTATTAAAATAATAACACTTGAATTTTGTTTTTCTATTTTATTTTATAGCAATATTTAAGTAATTTTATTTTAACTTATCATTAGCAATCTAATCATTTTTAATATGAGATAATGCCCGTGAAATTTATTGTTTAAGGTTGGCATGAAAAGTTAGTCCTTGAGACTTCAACATTATGTTTTTATATAGCTGTAATTGGATAATAAAAAGGATTTAATGAGCAATTTCTTATTCTTTATTTGCCCTTTTTTCTCTTGAGCATACATGGAAGTATTATTGGAGGTAGGTAGCCATGAGGAGCTGAAATATATTATCTCAAAATTAGAGTAAATAAAAAAAAGGGTTTGTAATACTGATTGATGAGAAAATGGCGTGGTGGTTTAGGCGGTCCTAAACCATGATTATGATGACAAAGAAGCACAATAATATTAGTTTGTTTGGGTAGCAATGAAATCCGTGACAGTTAATTATGATTATTATAATTAACTGTATCATTGGAAATGGGCGGGTGGGTCTGAGTCACACACATACAACAAACCACCTTGCCTGTCTGCCAACTTCATCCTGATGTCACCTTGGCGTTTATCGTTTCCTTGCCTGGATCCATCTTACGTTTTATTTGATTATTATTCTCAATACATCGTTAAATAAAGAGCAAAAGACGCATTGGCATCCGAGGTTTAGAGAAACCCAAGTTTATACATTGGTTATCTTTATTTTAGATTCTCACAAGTCGTTTTCTTTATTATAATAGATTTTTAACTTTTTATTGTAGAACGCATTTTAACGCACTAAAGCACACCAACGCTTTCTGTGATAGAAGATGAGTTTATGTTCGGAAAATAAAGCTTACATTAATAGCATTCAAACCAATGGTTTTTAGTTTTTTTTTTTTTTTTTTTTATTTCAAACATTAAACTTGGTTTATATTTTGTTTTGGGTTGTGGTAGTTTTTTTGTTGATTTCGAAGTCTAAAATCATTTTCAAGATTATTGTTGGACTCTCCATAGTCTCTTTTACAAAATTCATATTCTCACTTGTTGATCTCACCTATCATTTTTTTACCATTTTTAATAGTTACTAACAGTGTTAGTTTAAGAGTGAAAATCTGAAATAAATTAAACCAATAATATCAACTTAAGTTTTGCTAAATCTGGAGTATTGGGAATATGTCGTTTACTCTTAAATAAATAAGGCTTTGTTTGGTTCACATATTGGGAAAACTTTTCTAGTTTTCTTAAAAGTTTTCCCAAAAAAGTTAACTTTATTTCACCTATTTTGAAAATAGTTTTCTAAATTATTCAATTCCCTTAATCCCTCTAAATTTATTAATTTAACTAAACAACCCCCAAAACAAATTTAAAAATTGACAAAAACACTCAAACAACCCAAATTTATCAGATTCCGGCCACCATTGCCGAAAGCTGGCTGGAATTTGGTGTATCGATACACTACCGGCTAAATCTTACCGGTAGTGCGTTAGAAAATGCCAGATCTACAGCCAAATCTTTGGTCGTAGACAGTCGTCAACGACGGTCGTATCTTTGGCTGTCGTTAACTATTAAATGTGACCAGATATGGCCGTCAATGGTCAGATCTAGCCGCATATCTAGTCTTTTCCTATCAGATTCACGGTGGATCTGACAAAAAAATGTCATATCGATGCACGATCGGTAATATCGAGCCAATCATATACTGATATGGCAACTCCAACTACTTTCTAGCGGTGGTGGCCGGTTGTCCTTATTTATGAGTGGATTGGGGGTGTATTGTTAACTTTGAATATTATATTTAAGGTTGTTTAGTAAATAAATAAATATAGGGGATATTTATATTAATTTTTAAAATTTTATATCGTAATATCCATCTAATTTAACTTTTTTTAAAAGATTATTCTAAAACTATCCAATAATAAACCAAACGGAGGCTAAATATTTTGCATTTTGAGAAAATTTGATACTGTCACCAAAGATTTGTGGAGATTGGAGGGAGGGAGCACGTGAGCAACACGCAGCCAAGTGGGGTGTAAGGGAAAGAGAAGTGGAACAGATTGTATATTGTCGTGACTTGGGTTGCGTCAACGGACATTGATGTAACATGTCTGATTTGGATTGCTGAGGCTCCAACATTACACAATAATAGGAAAACCCCCTCTTCTGGATTTTCACAACCCACCCACTACCTTTTAATTACTTGTAAAAAAAAAAAAAAAAGAGGAAAACCTTGTCAATAATAGGAGGCTATGATTTAACATTATGAAACTTTAATTACTTGACCACGGCATCAAGTGTTTAAAGAGTAAAAACTAAAATTTGGGCAGTTGACCAAACTAAAATAAAATGTAGTAATCTTCTTTGTGCCAGCAGCGACCAACCCCACCCATAGTGAATCACCAATCATATCACTCCACCTCACGTACGTGCCATGCATCCATATATCGATCCCATCTAATTGCCTCGCTTACATGGCAAACAGATTAACCAACCCTTGTCCCACTCTAACTAATTAAAATTGCTTTCCACTTTTCTTTTTTCTGTTTATTTATTTTATAATTCATCAACACCGCAACATAAACATGAAAATATTATCTGTGACTGTGACGGTGTCAAAAAGAAAATAAAAAAAAAAATGCTAAAATGGGGCCATGGAATGGAATATGCAAAAGTGGTAGATAAGATTAATGATTTGGTGTTGTTAAGGTGGTAATTGAGGGCGTAAAGTGACCCTCAATCTAAGAAAGCTGGCGTCCATGGGTTGAGTTGACCTCCTTTTGAACTGGAAATACTCAATGAATTTGGTAAGTGTTTGTGTTACTGGGCAAAAAGTGTTTGGTAGCGTAGAAATGAAACAAACATCATGTTGTAAACCTGATTTTGGCAAGCAATAGGGATGGTGCGCCTACACGCTTGCTCCCCACGCTCCGGTCACTGATAAATGCATGCTAAGGGTCCCCTCTTATTCCTGTCAACATTTCCACCTTCCCCTCACTCTCAACTTTCATCATTTAATAAATCAAAACCAAAAGGATAAGGTTTCAAAAACAACCAAACATTATGGAACACTCATAATTTATTTTTAATATTACAAGAAATTAAGGTGAAAAAGAAAAAGTTGTGGATTTGAAGCATGCATGTATTCTTAAATTAAATTTTAAAAATGTTTTTATTTAATTTATTTTGTTGGGAGGATATTGCATTACATTACTTTATATGCAAGCTTCATCCAGAAATTAATTAAGCTCATTTTATTATGCCTATTTATTCAACAACCATCCTTGACCAGACGTGAACCAATTCATAGAGAATAAAAAATGAACACAAGTGATTAACTGCAATTAGCGCCGTCAAGAAGCCGTCCAAAACGGCGAACTGATTGGGAAGGCGTCAACGAATGACACGTCAACAGATTTCTTCTTGTTCTGATATTTAGAGATGGAGACGATTTGGAAATGTAGGAAAATTCTCACCCAATCCAACTCCAGCTACGCATAGCCAGTCTCCCATGACAACGTGGTGACAACCTTAACACAGCTGTAACCCTCCCCACTGCGGGACCCATTTATATTTCCCCCCCGATATTTTCATCTTTCTTTTCTCCTCAATTTATCATTTCCTTTAAAATTATTTACTTTTTTCTTTTAAAACTAAATGACTGAAAAATGTAAAATTATATAATTCTTATTTAATTTTTGTATTTTAATATAGGTATATTTACGGTGATGTTTAAAATGTTATGAAATATACATTTAACACTTAACCAATCAAATCAATATACAATGAATAAGTGATGAAGCATAAACGATATAATTTTCAAATCCTTAAGCAACCTAAAAAGAAGACATAATTGCTAAAATTAATTAAAAATAGTACGTGATAATGCCACACACTACAAAATGTATATAATTTTTGTTTGCAATTAACATAACAATTGACTTGTACGTATTATGAATCTATGATGTTACCTATTGTACCATATATTAACTTCAATTTATACGTCTATGCTCATCAAACAATCAATATTTGTATTAATTAATAATTATGTTACACAATTTGAGTATTCAACAAGCATATTGTACTCAAGATCAGCATTAAATTACAGTCTTATTGCCTAATTAATTAATAATATAAAGGCACCAACAAATTTTAGCAGTGATTTGGTTAACTGGGTACCCATCCAGTGACCCTACATAAGCATCATCTTAACTGTAATTTTTCTCCTACCATTTTCCCGCGAGAAGAAAAGTGGTGAAACCAAAATAATTAAAAATAATAATAAAAGAGAGAAAGTGAAACGTTAAGACAGATGAGCCGACATTCAATTGAGTCCATGAACATAGATGTTTCCTAAGCTCTTGAGCTCCCCTATCTCATCAACTGACGTACATTTCGAGTTTCACTCATCATTCTTCAATTCCTTTTAAATCCAAACATACAGTCAACTACTACAATCACCAATGGATCCCTGCCCATTCGTACGTTTGATTGTCGAATCTTTGGCTCTCAAACTCCCACTTGCCGCCCCTAAACCAGCCGGTCCGGGAGTTCATCCATCCGCCACTCCATGTTTTTGCAAGCTCAAGATCAAGAATTTCCCTTCACAAACTGCTCTTGTACCGCTTTCCACATCTCCCAACGACTCTCCACCCGAATCCTCTACCTCCGCCTTGGGTTTCCACCTCGACGCTACCGCCATCCGCCGCCTCTCAGCCAAGCCCGTCACTCTTCGCGTCTCCGTCTACACGGGTCGCATGGGTAGCTCGTGCGGCGTTAACTCCGGCAAGTTGCTGGGGCGTGTACACGTAATTATTGACCTCTCAGGAGCTGAGTCTAAGCCAATTGTGTTCCGTAATGGGTGGCTGAAGCTGGGAAGTACTGAGACTGAAAAGCCTTCGGCTCGGCTTCACTTAATGGTCCGGGCTGAACCAGACCCCCGGTTTGTTTTTCAGTTTGGCGGGGAACCGGAGTGTAGTCCTGTCGTTTTTCAGATTCAAGGGAATAATAATATCAGGCAACCTGTTTTCAGCTGCAAGTTCAGTGCTGACCGAAACTCAAGATCCAGGTAACAATTCTTTTTCAACATTTTGATTATATGGGTTTTTTGTAGGGTAATGTAACCGTATACTGTTGGCGATGGTGGTGGTGGTGGTGGTGGTGGGGTGGTCAAGAATCATTACTTTAATAATTTTTTTTTTATTTTTTTTCCTGAGAAATTATTGTTTGTCGCATTAATTTGGAGAGTGTTGAGATAATTCCGTATTTGGATATGCTTTTTTGATAAAGTAGGGATCATGTGGGTTGTCAAATTTCTTTGCTTAGCTGGTAACTCACATCACATGTCTTATTATGCTAAGTTGGCCACCACCTTATCTATTTTCCCTTTTTTTGTTTCTTTCATGAAATTAACCTCCATTTTTAGTTTCCTTCATGCTAATTTACTTTGAAAATGGCTGATCAAAGTAACCAACAATTGGCCCCTAGTGGACGCTTTAACTTGGTCCCATTCAATCACAATTCCACCCAATAGTCTTTATCATTTGGCACCACTATTTCTTTTACTTTTCCTAAGTTTAGTAGGTTCAATTAACGCTCACGATTCATTCCTTGATTTCTCTGTTGTTCTTGGTTATCTTGTCTTCAAATAATTTCAGTCTATGGCCAAAAGAGAATGTCAACTTAACTGACCATGCACTGTGACTAATCACGAACTTCTATGGTTAAGAAAATTAAACAATAAAAAGCGCTCAAATTTCTAACTAAAATCACTAATTTGATTATTAATAATGGAATCCGTTGCTAGTTTGGTCAAACGAATCAGAACTTGAAATCTATATATACTGTATCAAACTACTTTTGATTCCCTCCATGTGCAAGAATATTTGGTCGTTACGTACATCACGTTAATTCAATTTCCTGTCAACTGTTCTGACATATCTATGTTTGAAGTCGGTTGGGTTCTAAGATTTTGTTGTTTGTGATTCTTGAAACCAGATCTCTGCCATCAGATTTTACCAACAATAACGCCAACAATCGAGGATGGATGAGAACGTTTTCAGGCGAAAGAGAACGACAAGGAAGGGAGCGCAAAGGATGGATGATAATGATATACGACTTATCTGGCTCTCCAGTGGCAGCCGCCTCCATGATCACTCCATTTGTTCCGTCACCAGGATCCGACCGCGTGTCCCGTTCAAACCCTGGCGCATGGCTGATCCTCCGACCTCACGGTTTCTCCGTAAGCAGTTGGAAACCATGGGGCCGTCTCGAAGCATGGCGTGAGAGATGCCCGATTGATGGGTTAGGTTACAAGTTTGAGCTCGTTACCGATAGCGGCCCTAACAGTGGAATCTCCATTGCTGAAGCGACAATGAATGTAAAAAAGGGAGGCCAATTTTGCATTGATAGTAGGATTATGAGAGATTCTTTAGTGAGTTTAAGATCTCCAGTTAAAGGATTCGTGATGGGTTCGAGTGTAGAAGGTGAAGGAAAGGTTAGTAAACCTGTGGTACAAGTTGGGGTGCAGCACGTGACTTGCATGGCGGATGCTGCACTGTTTATAGCACTTTCAGCCGCCATTGATCTGAGCATGGACGCTTGCAGACTTTTCTCACATAAACTTAGAAAGGAGCTTTGCCACGATGAACAAGATGTCTTCTCTTAAAACNGAAGTATCATTATGTTATCACTGAACTTCCTTTGTTTGGGATCGAAACTAGGAGGAAGCTGAAATAGAATATGTTGAAGGGTATGATGATCTTGAAGAGGAGGAGGATATGGAAGATTTTGGTGGTCTTGCAATTACTAAGTTCCATGCAGATGATGATGATGGTAAAATTGGTTTTCAATGCTTTCTTTTTGTTGCCTTTTTTAATACGATGGGATATGTATGCATCCATCAACTTTTCATAATACATGCGTTCATTAGTTATTCACATATGTGTTGGTTGCTGATTAAAACCTTCATTTAAATGGATTAATTAATCGCAATTGTCATCTGCTAGGAGGCGCTTTTATGTTATAAAATAGCAAGTTACACCTCACTATAACATGTTGTTTGGGTCTCGTACACTTTTGATTGTTCACTCTCTGGTTCTGGAATGTTTTCTTTCAGAGTGTCTGAAACATCAAACTGAAATGATATTTTATTCATGGATATAATTGTGAACTTAATATTGGTGTAATGATACAGTTGGAGTGGATGATGATGAGGAAACAGTAGCAGTTGATCGCAAAAGAGAGAGAAGAGAATCTAACTTGGCTTTGAGAAAGCTTGAGAAAGATGAACCTGGTGCCAAACTAAAGAAGAAAGCAAGGGTACTTGTTGAGGTGAGGGTTTATCTCCAAGTATTTATGTTCTTTCCTCTTGCATTACGAGGTTTAATGATTGATGTAGTTACACCATCCTTCTTTTTGCAAGTGCTATTTTTCTGTTTCTGCATGGTTAAGTTGACATCAATACGATTAGAGTGAATCTTGATGTTTCAAATTAAATTTTTTCAGGTTGAGCAAGAAGATGCGGATGAGAGACAAAAAGCAGTCCACTGAAAGTGTAAGTGTATTGCTTAAATTTGATTTCTTAACGAGTAACAGTGTCAATTTTACAGTCATAAGATATAACTGTACAGATTGGTAGTGAGAGGAAACACAATTGTTGTACTGTTGAGTTGCGCTAGTATGCAAAATTTTGACCCAGTGTTTGAGAGATACTTTCTTACTTACAATTCACTTCTGTTCCATTTTTCCAATATTTGTATTGGGTTTGAGTTGAGGAGCTGAATTCTTTATTGCTTATAGCTAGTTCTTGCTTCACTTTTTCAATTATCTTGTTGGTCGTAGAAACAAAAGATGAATTGAAATTTCTAATGGCTCGAGCTCGAGCTTGGTATTGTAGCAGCCAAGTACACAATTTTAGGATATCAGTCAGAAAGTGTTGTATTACTCATAAAAAATTTAGTTTTAATAAAAATTATTTTAGATAGAAAAATTATATATACAAAATTGTGAATTGAAATAGGTCTTTTAACAAGGATAATCTTCTCGTTTAAGAAAGAAAATGAGATGAGACAATAGTTTATTTTAATGAAAAAGGGCGAAAAAGCATTACCTGGAAGGCTGGAACCACGCAGGAAAGGTGAAAGTTAATCTAGAGAGAGAATGAGAAAAACTTGCTTTGGAGAAATGTCTTCCTTTTTCAACTTTCAGTTATTAAAAAAATTATCAAAGAGACTTTAAACAGATGCATTATCAAGATATTGGTTCCTCCTCATCAATGGCAAATTCCAAACACAAATTGTCTAGCATCCCACTAGATTTCAATTTTTTGACATTTTTTTCCGACTTCCTGTAAAAACTCTATTACGATTTCGTTGTCTTTGAAACCAATTTTCTCCCTAATCGACAGTCCAAATTTCACTTGAATTATTCCATTTCATTAAGATCCCATCTTAGTTTGATTGCCAAAGATTTGAGCCTCTAATCAATGGACCTTAATTCATTCGATGACATCACCCCACTTTATGATCACCACCAACAAAACATCAGCGAAGACACAGAAGTATCTGGTTCATGTAATGGCTTGCTCGCTGGCAATGTTTAGGAGTATTTTTGAAATATTTCAAAACTTTAGGGACAAATGTAATTTTTTGGGTATTTCAAAATAAATGAAAATTTTAGAGGCCAATTTATAATTTTTAGGAGTATTTATAATATACTAAAATTTAAAGGATTAATTTATAATTTTTTAAAAATACTTTTATTATTGAAGAGTTCAACTGACCGACCCAACTGGGTTGGACCAACTGACCCATGACTTGGTCACTTTGCCGGGTCTCACAACAGGTCAGATTTTAAAACAAGCCCCGGGACATCTTCATATTCAACCCTTCAAATAGAAATTTATTCAAGTTAACTTTTGTCTGTAATGACTTTCCCATATTTCGTTTTGCGGTGTTGTGTTTTCGGGATTTGGTTATGACCACATTAATGATGACTACAAAGTTGTGAGAATTGTGAGGTTTAACGGTTGGTTAGTAGATTATGAAATTAATATTTTCAGTTTAAAATCTAATTCCTGGAAAACAATCAATATCTTTCCGAATCGTTTTCGCCATATTTCTGGAACTTATGATCCTCTTCAGCGTAGAAGAATGTATGGAGTTTTTATTTCCAGTGTTTTACATTGGTTGTTTCCTCGTAGTCCAGAGTTGGGTAAAGATAAATCAACAGTTGCGTTTGATGTCAGTACAGAAGCTATTAGTTTGTTGCCTCAGCCTGATTATTTTTACTTTTCCCAAAGCAGTGATTGATTTGGCTGTGGTGGATGGGAGATCATGTTTGATTTGTAGGTATGATGAAGGGCTTCTTGATGTATGGATGATGAAAGAATACGGGGTGAAGGAATCTTGGTTTAATTTGGTTTTGATTGATTGAAGTAACACGATTACTTCCTTTCAGTTTCTTGAATCCACCTTCCCGGGAATGGGATAATGGTGTTGATAATTTTCTCTTGAAAGTGAAAAGGAATGAAGAACTTGTGTTGTATGATCTGAAAAAACANCAGCAACTTGCCCCACGTGAGCCCTAGTAATATATTTACATTAATTAATTTTAATTAGTTGTATTATCTGGCTTTGAAGACTGCGATCAAATCAGATCCTCTGAGAGACCTGGTTTAATTATATTTTAATCTAAATTAATTAATTAACACTTCGTTCATTAATGTTTGAGACCTGTTTAGTCAAAAGGGTGTTGACCTAATGCCAGTTAGCTTCTTCTTGTGACCCGGAAGACGAAGATCTTTTTCAATTAAACTAAGATTTTTAGTTAACAATTAGTGGCGTGATTTTGTCAAATCATTAAATGTGTAATTAGTAAACGTATCATAATCTTGATCATCTTCATCTTCATCTTCTACACGAGGTTTATTGAAAGACGATCCACCGTCCCTGCATGTGCGCAACGTGTTTAAATTTCCATGTAAAATTGAGCCCTGGACATAGTAAAATGGAAGAACCAAACATGTAATTCAGCAAACCAGACCACGACCACTTCCTTTTTCCTCCTAAAAGTTTCCACCTCCCTTTCAGCAATTTCGATGTCCCAGGAACGGAATAACATGTTGAAATTTTATATTTTCGAGAACCCTTTTATTTGTTTTCCCTTGTTAATTAATTGAAACTTTAATTAAGGTAACAAATTAAGAGTAATTAGAAGAAAATAGTGGATAAGGCTGAAATATGGGTTTCGATTGGCTTGCAGAGATTTTGTTTGATATATTAGCTAGTTCCATGGAATCTCCTGACACTACCAACTGGTACTGCAAATTAACAGCTATATATTTCTACTTATATAAATTTGGGATATTCATTTTTGCCCTAACTATTGAAATTATTCAACACTTCCACATGGATTTTAGTTATTTTCAAAGTTGTGAATAAATATGTATATATTTCACTTTCTTGAATTTCTTGTGGTGTGAATTGTGAAAGCCATTTAATTTTCATCCACTCGTACAAGTGAAATAATGGAAACATTAAAACCGACTCTTTTAATGGTTAAACAATTCAGAACACGAGAGAAAGGAGCTGATAATTAATGAAGTAAATGTGAATGTAAAGGTGAGGAGGGAATAGACAGGGGAGAAGATGACAAAAGAATTGAAAAAAAGATGGTTAAAATCCATCAAGAAAATAGAAATAAAGGAGACAAGATCTTATCATAATCTGTAAAATTCATATCACATACATTTATATTTATAGATTCGCACTCAGAAATATATTATAAATATATAATGTGTCACACACTATTATTATTATTATAATATAAACTTTATAATACTGTATATATGATGAGAGTGAGTTAGAGAAGCCGAGAGAAGAGGATCACACGTGTGCATGCAAGAGAGATACCGATACATGGCGAAATGGGCGGTGAGGTTCTGTGTTGGTTGTAGCCATGAGAGTCTAAAGAATTAAGATCTCAAACAAATCAAGTGTTGACTTAAAAAAAAAAAAAAAAAAAAAAAACTAAGACTTTAATTTGCATTGCATTGTAACCTTTTCATTTCCCATGCAGTCAAATTATATTCACGACTGTAATTAAATAAACAGATCTCTTTACAGTTAATTTTTCACCAAATAGAAAGGATAAAAGAATGGAGCATTAATGAAAGTGTCTCGCAAAAGAAGAAGAAGATAGGTAGGGCTCTAAAAATTTCACTGCTACGTGAAATTAAGTAAAAGCTGAGCTACAGTAATAAAAATAAGTATGGCGATGGACCAACCAAGAGGAATTATGAGCCATACCAATTACCAAACGAATATATTTGTATACCTAACAATTGAGATTCATTTATGAAGGAGCACCGTGCAACCAGTACAGAAATGAATTATTCTTTTACCTATTATCCGGACAATGCTATCAGTATCTTAGGTGAATGAATTCAATTTGTTTCCATGGAAATATTATACACTTTTATAGAGATCTGAGCTAAATTAATTTTTCCTGCAATTTTTATATTATATTGTTGGAATTGAATGTACCTCAATTGGACGTTCCATATATTAATACCTAAAGATAAGTTAATACCGTATTGTTTATTATCTTTCAAAACCTTTAAGCATAGTGATGGAATAACAAAAGGATATATATATTTAAGTGTTG